CATGGATTGGCGAAAGCATGAAAGTATATCAAACTTTTGCTGAGGCTAGAAATGTGAAAGTTAACTGGTTTTTTTAATAGATTTAGTATTTCAATCACATGAAAAGGAAGCATACAGAAAGTAAAAAATAATAAAAGAATTCCAAAAACTTTTAAAGTTTTTAAAGTCTGTTTATATCTCGTCATAGTAAATCTCTCTGTGATTTCGCGTAAATCTGCACCAGCTAGTAAAGCTCTGCAATTTTTTCTGATTTTTTGCATTGAGCTACGAATAGCGTAATCTTGCAAGTTGAACTTTAAGCTACTTAAGTTAATGTCACTAAATTTTCTTTGGCTCATGGATTTTTGTATGGATGATTGCTCGTCGCACATTTGTTGGTTTATGAAAATCCCATTTCTTCTGTTTGAAATTTCATAAGTTTGAAACAGTTGGCATGTACCAGCTCTTTCTGGACTGCTTATATTAAAGTTATCATCCAAGTTTAAATGTTTAAAGGAGTTATGGAGATCTGTTAATGAAAAATTAATTTCGCTTTTTTCAGCGTACTCTAATTTGTGAATACCTGAAAATGATATACTTCTTCGTACTGTTTTTTTTTTACTAGAAAAATTTTTGAAATCAGAAAGATCGCTATTCTTTCGATTATTTTTAGGTTTTTTTTGTTGGTTGCATAAAAAACGTTTATCAAGCGACTCAAAAAATGGCGTTTTTTCAAGAATCGAGGGGCGGTTTCTATTGAAGCATTTTATCGACTCTCGGTTTAACGACCTAATTCTGGACCATGTTTGAAAGTACAAAAATGACATGATTAATAACGGAACAACGCATTGAACTACAAAAGAAAATAATACGTGAAACGTCATTTTAAAACAAACTGAGCCATTACTTTTTTGTGAAAAATACATTGTAACCCCTAAAATAATAGAAAAAAAGTCCACCGCCATACATGTTAAAATTGATTTTTTTAAACTTCGAGTACCTGCCATCATTTTTGGATATATTATTACTAAATTTCTTTCAATTGCGATCAATACTAACGTAAAAACATTTGCCATAACAAGAATCGCACGCAAAGGCTCAAATATTACGCATTTCGTTTTCCCGAATAATTCAAAGTTGCGGTCAAACAAAAATAAAGGAACTCCAACCAGCAATGTAAAGATATCAAGTGCACATAAGTTACATACAAAAACATTTGTAGGTATTTGAAGATTTTTATACTTGGTAGTTGCCATAATAATAATCAAGTTGCCAACTACACCCAAAACAAATCCAAAACTAAATATTCCGGAAAATACTGTTGTCGCAATCATTATTTTTTTTCTCGATGTTTTACATATCTGAAAAAAACAAAAACAAAGCATTATAAGATATTGCATTTGTAGCTGGTTATTGACTTTTTAACATAACAATTTCGGAGTACTACTGTGATATCAATAAATACGTTTTTGAAGTGCTGCTGCTACAGATGAGTTTGTTTATTTATTTTTATTAGCTATAGTAGTTTCTTAATTAACATATTTGTAATACTTTATTGCTTGGTGATGTTGTTAATATTAAACAGTTTTTTTTTCATAAAGCACACCCGCTGGTTTTTTTTCTTTTTGCTGTTCTGTTTTAATTTTTTGAGCCCCTGCTTTCTACTTTCTTAACAAAATAGATAAAGTAAACGAGTTAAAGTAAACGAATAAACAGTTAATAATCACAGCAGCGTTTCTTAATCGTATTTAATTTGTAGCTGTATTTTGTGCAATAAAAGATTAATCATATAATCCTAAAACTTTAGCACTTTTATATATATATAATACACAATCAACTCACCCCTCTTGAATTCAACCTTTTATGTGCGCCTTAGAAGAAGAAGGACAAGAAACTTTATATTTGGTATATTATTAAAAAATATATATATTTATTTTTAAATATTATTTGTATGTTACATAATAGCAACCACGTTTCTTTTTAAGTTTTTTAAGTAACAATTTAGTTAACTCGTCGAGAAATTTTCTATAAATAATTTGTCAATTAATTAAACTATTTATGAAACGAGTATAATACATTTAAAGATTATGTTTTTAAAAAGGAAATTAGTTTTATTGCTAAAAATACATTTTTTGTTGTTTTAATATAGTTTGTTTAATAAAATTATTTCCATTTAAAAAGCATTTTGCATTAGATTCTATAAATGTGTTGCACTGGAAATGTGCTAAATAATATTGTCTTCATTGTATATTTCATACTCTTTTAAAGTATTCCGCAACAAAACAATTTCACTTGTTAAGTTTATATTACAGATCCGTGAAAATGTAAAATAATTGGGCGCCCTTGCGTTTCAAAACATGTTTTTTTTTTTTAAATAAATAATACTTTTTATACATTAAAAATTATTGTTATGGAAACATTAAAAAAGGTTTTGAGAAAAATTGGAACTTTAGAGTCACTCTGAACCCAAAAAGTGCAATACCGTTTTCTCACTTTCACACGCGCTTTCTCACTTTCACGCGCACTCTTTCTTTTACTTTTACATAAACTACATTACAAAAGTTTTAGTTGCATTTGTTTTGTAAAAACGAAATAAATCTAGCAAAATCCTATCAATTTACAATATTGCCAACAAATTTTAAGTTTAGTTTTAGTTTAGTTTTATTAGACTATTTTGCCGTTAAAAATATTCACAATGTACAACAATATAAAAGGTACAATTGGCTGGAGCATGAAGAAGGCATCAATTTATTTAACAAGGCATTACCATTTAATCAAATATTGATTCATAAAGAGTGTATACGAGCACAGAATTAAGAGGATGTCTAAAAATTAGATTAACTTTGATATTCACATACCTTTTCAAACCGCGTTTACTAAAAATGTTTTTACTTCTCTTCCTTTATAATTAAGCTGAAATTTTATAATGATTGAAATAGAATTAAAAACTTATCGATGGCAACAATGATTAACAACTCTTTGTAATTATTAGCAGCAGACAAAAAATAATATTATAGCTTATGTTCCAATACAAATGCATTCTAAGAAAGGTACTCAAAACACTTTTAGAAACGACAAAAAAGTTCTTCGGATCATACTTAATGTAATTATGTTTCAAATTTACTAAATTTCTGTTTTTTCTCATAAATAATTGCTAAATTATTTTTTTTTTTTTTTTTTAAAAACAAAAAAAACATAAAAAAACAAACATTTAAAATTTAAGAATATTGTATTACTTTTATATCAGAAAAATATTTTAAGAAACCTTTAGAGTTTTGTTTTGTTGTTCTTATTTCAAGCAATACTGTATATGCATTATATATGTATTTGCAAAACCTTTGCGATCTTAGTTAATTTGGTTTAACATGAAGTAACTATTTATTTTTCCACGAACCTTGCGTTGTATAAAAAAATACGAATTAAAATAAGAAAGATTACATTCAGTTTCAATATCTTAGTCTACTATACTTTTATATATCATTCTAAACAATAAAACTTATTATTACTCTACTGTATTTTTCTTTTTTATCTATTCTTTAATAGCCGTAATTTTTTCTTGTAGTATATACATCCCGAGTAGCGCAATATTGTTAACAGTGTGTAAACTATATAAACAATATTGCGCCAATATTGTTTGCTACTCGGGATACATACATACATACATACATACATACATACATAGATACATACATACATTCATACATACATACACACAAACAAACATACATACATACATACATACATACATACATACATACATACATACATACATACATACATACATACATACATACATACATACATACATACATACATACATACATACATACATACAATTAAGAGTCTAAATAAAATTTGAAAAATGCCGATAACCTTTAATAACTTTAATACACATTTTAGCTGTACGTGAATATTTAAAGTATAAATTTGTATGTGAATATTTACGTAAAAATTTAAGTTATAAAACATAAACAATATCTGCGTACTAACTAAATTTTAAAAACTTAAAAAAAAAATTATTTCATATAATGTTTGCTTTTAATAATCAAAAGCCAAGTAAAAAATTGGATCTGAAAATTGCAAATAGAGACATTTGCGACAACGTTATTAAAATTGTTCGGTGCACTTAGTATAGATTAGTATGGATTTGTGTTAATATAGATTCATGTTTAAGCATGTTTTAGCAACGATTTTGCACTTGAGCAGTTTTGTATTAGCGTTTAGGACTTAAGCCTCTAGCCGTAATTTCTTTTTCACTTTATTAATCTTATTTACTTTATTAAACTTAGTTGAAGTATCAAAAAAAAAAATTACCCAAAAGTTGTTGCCAAGCAAATTAAACCATTTTTGGTAAAAAAACTTTTTTTTTAATGATTTTTAAAAGCTTAAAATTTGTAAAAAACTTTTTGCCGAATTTGCTAAATTTGTGAATTGAAAAGAAGGTGAAAAAATCTCATAAAATCTTTAATGTCCAAAATCGCTCTCTAAATCTATCTATATATATATATATATATATATATATATATATATATATATATATATATATATATATATATATATATATATATATATATATATATATATATATATATATATATATATATATATATATATATATATATATATATATATATATATACACACACACACCCACACCCACACCGACTCTAAAAACTGCGTTTAGCTTAAACACTTTTTTAACGTTTCTAAAAACGAGTTTTGCATCGAGTTTTTAAACATGTTTAGGTTAGGGTTATATGAGCTTAAAATCTAAACGCTTTTCTAAACACTTTTCAAAACGCGTTTTTTGGCATCGAGTTTTTAAAAACATTTAGATGTTAAAAGTGTTTAGCGGTTAAACATATATTGATGTTTGGTGTTTAATTATCGAAGAATGAAATAAGTTAAAAAAAATATTTATTTGATCAATTTATGATTTACAAGCAAATAAAAAAAACTAACAACTAAATAAAAATTAACTTTTAATTGAGTCAAGATATTTTTTCTCAATAACAGCCATTTTGGTACTCTTAAAATTGCTTTTTTATTTTAAATCATTTAATAAGTATAATTGAAAAAATGTTAAAACTTGATATCTTTTTGGTAAACAAAATTCCCAAACTTAATAAACAGCCAATAAATCTGTAATTAGTTCAAAAATTGACTTTATTCTGCCTTCGACATGAATACTGTCAGTTAAAATAAATTCGTGAGATTTGTTTTTGGTTTCTTCAGCAATCATAAAATGAGGTGGGCACAACCTGGGTGATCTTAATTCTACTTTGTCTGCCTAAAAGTAGAAATGCGAATTTAGAAACAAGATATATCATTAGCAAATATAGTATATTGTTTTTTGCATTGAAAATTTAAATTTCGGCCGTTGACCTTTATAGGGCTGTATACTGGAACAGTAGAATGAAACAATGAATACATGGTTTTTTTGCTGCACAGGGTGTTAAAGCAAATTTATTGAGTATTCTTTGTAGCAATAAAAGAAATTTTAAATAAATACATGAAACTTACATCCACTAATGATATTGCAGGTGAAAGTTTCTTGCCTTTTCCATTTAAATCCATAGTACTTTGCAACTTCATCAACAACTCAATCGCAAGCCCATTGCATGATTTATTATCACCATCGCTATATTCTTCGCAATTCTTTATGAAAAAATATTTAAAGAAAAATACATTTGAAGAAACAATACACACACACACACACACACACACAATAACATACTAATGACCAATTAAAAAAAGTCTTTTATTTAATAAATATTGGTGGGACGCCAACAATAACAATGTTTTTTCACTTACAAACTCAATTTTTCGCAGCAAACTAAATTGTTCTACTATCTTCATAACTGAACCATTGCCTATACTAGCCAGTTCTTCTCTTCTGCTAGAGTGAAACAATCTAAATGTTTTAGATGACAATCTAAATTTCATAATACCTTCAAATAATTTATGCATAGGATCATGAAGAAGACTTTTAGTCCGTTTGAAATATGGAATATTAGCCAACATGCTATCACCATTAATTCCATACTTCTTTCACCAATAAGCTGCATCTTTCTTCCATCCAGTTTGCAGTAACAATTCCTGAACTCTATCTAGATGTTCTTGTTTATCTCGCAATGGAAATTGAAAACTTGTACAACTAGTGTTCAATTAATTTCTTTTTATTTCACAAGTACGACAAGGCTTTTGACAAAAATTAACACCTTCCTTAAATCCCCACACATTCAGTGCAGCAAGAGTATCTGTTAAATCAAATAATAATGAACCATAAATTAGTTTTTCACCCTTTGAGGTTTTCAAAACCACACCATTTTTTAGAAGATGCATAGCACTGTTTAAATCTTCTAATAAAGATGCAACACCAAACTTGCTGATTTCACATGACTTAGCCAAACATAACAGCTGTATAGCTTGCAAGCTACTTCTATATGTTCGTGGAATATTTAGCAACATCCAATAAAAAGCTGGGTTTTTTTTGTGACTTTATCAGTAAATAAGGCAAAAAATATACTATCTGGGTGTAATTACAAAAACTCATGGTCTCTGACATATGAGTCATAAATAACATCAGTTATAGTAACTCTTTGATGTAACTGTTATTTTTATAAAATATGCATTTCATTTCTGGTAATTTTAAAAGCATTTGTAACTGGTTTATAAAAGGCAAAAAATATCCAAGAACGTCTTTTTCTGAGTCATAAACACCAATTTTTGCAGATTCAGGTCTAATACAGCCAAGTTCTTTAGCTAAAAAAGCTTCTTACAAGTAAGTTATGTGCAAGCCATTAAAAACTTTGGCATTAAAACAACTTCGTAGTTCGTCACTTAGTTCACCTATTTCTATTTCTATCTTTTGCTTTCTATTTAAAATTTATGTTGCCACAGCTCATTAGTTAGCATAACAATGCCGTTGAGTGCTGATGATGTCATTGAGTGCTGATGATGTCATTGAGTGCTGATGATGTGTTATTGAGTGCTGATGATGTCAAGTTGTGACGAAATTTTAATTTAAGCAACATGGCATTATCTAATTTTTTTTTGTCTTATAGTTTATCCCTACATTCATTTTCGATAATTTTTAGAGAGCAGAAACTTTCAATATCAATTTTTTGATTTCAAGCATGAAACATGACTTTAAAAAAAAAAAAAAAATTTAAACGATGCACGACATCCATTAAAGTTACAATATAGTTGAAAATTTGTTGCATCTCGGTGATGCCTTATCACATGTGTAAGTAACTGCTGAGGTGTTGAGGAAAATTTTGGCACATATTGCAATGATGCATCATTATTGTTTTAATGGTAACTAAATTAGATAAAAATTAAGTTAATTTGAATCATACCAAAAAAGATTCAAAAAAACCATAGAGTTGAAGCCACAATTTTACATCATCGACTGTATCATTTTCCTTAAGGGTTTTTAACTATATCCATCTATAATATACAAAATCAAAATTAACCAATATTAAAAAATAATACTTTAGATATACAAAATTCAAGATATATATCTCTTATTATCTCTATAATGTATCAAACATATGCATGTATCTGATATATCATTGAAATATATCTAAAAAAATAGTTTTTTCGCCGTAAAAAATACACGTCAGAATAAAGTCAATATAAAAGGTCTTGTGCCCCCACAATAAAGATTGTGAGAGCACTAGACCTTTTATATTGACCTAACTTTGTTTCACATTGCCGTAGGACAAAAGTCTTTATACTTCTGTGTAGATACTAAAAAAAATAAATGCATAACTTATTTTCGCAAAAAACTGAACAACCGACCTTTGTCTTCTGAGGTACAGATATATATACATATATATATATATATATATATATATATATATATATATATATATATATATATATATATATATATATATATATATATATATATATATATATATATATATATATATATACAGGGGTGGGACCGCAAAATGTGAACGTTTTTGTTTTATTATAACTATTTTCTCGTTAGATGTAGTTGAGTTTATTTGATAAAAAACGAAAGACAAAGTACTAATGAATATGTAAACAAAGTAAAATATAATATGTAAAAAAACAAAAATTGAACATTTAAAATAGTTCATATTTAAAAGAAAATTAATTATTACAATCAGAAAAGTGTTCACATTTTGCGGCCCCACCCCTGTATATATATATATATATATATATATATATATATATATATATATATATATATATATATATATATATATAATTTAAATGAATATACAGCCTTGAGCAAGCATACATTAGGTAATAAAGGATCATTCTAGAATAACAAGATGGATATATATCTGGATTCATAATTTAATAAAATCATTTTTTATTACCTTTTGTTCTACCCTATTATCTGAATTGCAATTGTTTCTTTTTTTCAATTGACAAAACAATTAGAGCAACAAATCAATTACATGTCCGTTTCTATTAAATGACCGTATTTATTAATTTCATAAAAAAACTTTTTCTCATTGAATAGACTCCAGGTTAAGTTTAAAATGGGAAAGTTAATAGATTCTCTCCTTTAATGTTTCCATAACTTGATTTGACATTTCTTACTTTTGAAATCCTCTCTCTTTTATGACCATAATTAATAAATATTGTTAACAACCTAGTCATTAGTAAGCAGATTATTTTAATATATTTTAAGGGACTTCGGGGAAAAAAATTTTCCCGCCAAATAATAGATCCAAAATAATAAGCTCTTAATAAGTACTGATTATAACATCTTATGTCTAATGAAGATGTCTAAGATGGTAGGCTCTCGGACCCTTGTTCAGACGCTGTCCTTGAGGTCCGAAAATGTAAAAAAACGACTTCTTTATTCAAAAGAGAACCTGCCTACCCCAAACCCTTAGTCGTTGTTTGCACATTCCGCTGCATGTTCTCTCTAAAAATCAGTCGGCGTATGTGTGCACCGCTGCGCAAATCCCTATATACTCCATTTTGCCTATTTCCTAGAAATACGAGTTCACGGACGCAAAGGAAGCTTAACATCAGAATAGGGGTTTGACAAGAGTGCGTTCCGTCTAAGATAGTTTAATAATAATAATAATTTTTTTTTTAACCAAAAAAATAATTCTACAACTCTATATTTTTGAAGTTTATTATTGTGGTTTGATAATGAGAAAAACTAATTTGGTCAAAAAAATGTTGTAAAGGAGACGGTAATAGTTTTATTCTAAAGAGACGTTAAAAGTAGTTTTATTCTACAGAGACGTTAAAAGTAGTTTTATTCTAAAGAGGCGTTAAAGTAGTTTTATTCTAAAGAGACGTTAAAAGTAGTTTTATTCTAAAGAGACGTTAAAAGTAGTTTTATTCTAAAGAGACGTTAAAAGTAGTTTTATTCTAAAGAGACGTTAAAAGTAGTTTTATTCTAAAGAGACGTTAAAAGTAGTTTTATTCTAAAGAGGCGTTAAAGTAGTTTTATTCTAAAGAGACGTTAAAAGTAGTTTTATTCTAAAGAGACGTTAAAAGTAGTTTTATTCTAAAGAGACGTTAAAAGTAGTTTTATTCTAAAGAGACGTTAAAAGTAGTTTTATTCTAAAGAGACGTTAAAAGTAGTTTTATTCTAAAGAGACGTTAAAGTAGTTTTATTCTAAAGAGACGTTAAAAGTAGTTTTATTCTAAAGAGACGTTAAAAGTAGTTTTATTCTAAAGAGATGTTAAAAGTAGTTTTATTCTAAAGAGACGATCAATAAATATTGATCAATAAACAATTGTCTTATAAGTAAACAAAAGTTGGTCTTCAAACATGTCAACAGGAGTTAATAAAAACATTGGCTTATAAATAGGCAAAACTTGGTCATCAAACATGTCAACAGGAGTTAATAAAAACATTGGCTGAAATACGGATGCAAAGATGCGACAATTCATTATCTAAGTTCAAGAATGTCTGTTTTTGGGCATTCAGGATAAAACAAAAAACGTAATATTCAGAGGACTAGAATCATTGAGCATCAACCAATGATTGAACAATTCAAATTAAGGATTTTTTAAATCTGTGGTTTTTGCGGAGGGCAAATATTTAGAGCATCTCAACAGCTAAAGTGCTTTCATGAATTAAGACCAAACTTGTTTTGAACTAGATCAAGTTAAAAAAATGGTTTTTGATGAAAAAAAAAAAACATTTCTAATGTTAAATCTATTGATTCTCCACCAGAAAAAGATAGCATCACAATTACCTATTGTTTTTCTACCAGTGGGTAATGTTTAGACCACAAATTGTGTTTAAAAATTCGTTCAGTCGGATGCAAGATAATGTTTATTCTTGAAATTTTCTTTTAATTTAAACAATAGATAGCAAGCAAATAATTTTTAATTTAAACAATAGCAAGCAAATAATTTAAACAATAGATGGCAAGCAAATAATTTAAACAATAGATGGCAAGCAAATAATTTTTTCCAGAATTACTTAAAGGAAGTAGGAGGAAGATTGAGTAAAAAACTAGTTGAGCACACCGTGTTCATTTTTTTATGATAAACATAGAAGACATATAAACTTTAATATGTTTGTTTTGATATGTGATTGTTAACGAAGAAATCAAAATAAATAAAACTAATTAAATATTTTTTGATTTTTTATAATTATTAAAATCGATGAATCATAAAGTTAAACAAAGTACATAAAGATTTGGACGGAAAATTCCGTTTAAAATGTAATGATCTGTAACTTAATGATTATTTACAATATCATAATTAGTAAAAATATTTCATAATATGATAAACAGTGACAATATCATAATTCTTTACACTTTAATTGAAGGTAACACTTTTTTTAAATTTTGGTTTCAAAGTATTCTGGGTAATAAAAATTTTATTACCTAAAGAGCATCATAATTTATCATAAATTATTAAAAATTTAAAGGAATTAACATGCTGTTTTATTTTCAAAGGTTATAAAATAAAATAATTGAAAAATTTAATTTAAACTATCTTTTTCAGATCCAAGAAATGATTTTTTAATAGTATTGGCTAAATCAAACTGCATTTCGAGC